AAATATCTAACGTTAAATTGTTATTTATCTTTAATTTAAATAATGAGTTAAAGTAAATTTATATCTGCTTAGTTTAACCAGTTGAAATGCAATATTTTTTTAGTAAAGAGGGTGAAAAAAAAAACATGTATTTTTGCTGATATTATGCTATTGTGTGTTCGTTTGGTCATAAATGCTCAAAAAAACATTATATGTTTGCAAATAAAATTTGAATATGCCCAACAAATTAATGTTAAATATATTATTTCGTGTTCTTATTAAAGTGTGCTTATAAAATAACATATCTAAATACTATATCTCAATATAATAAATAATAATAATTGTATATTATAATTAGTTAGAATAAATTACTTCTCATTCTTATATACTTCTTGAAATATAAATAAGCCGGTTATTTGATGGTTGATTTCGTGTCTTTAAATTTTATCCACTATAATTTCATTAAAATCATATTATCCCTATTCATATCATTCTGTTTCATTAAAACTATCACAGAGAATGAAAAATACGTATCTGGAAGTGCCTTGTATCAAATAAAAGATGATGAAGAATCCTTTAGAGAAATCATCTACAAAGGATTTACTAGATCTTCAGAAACGTTAATCGATGATTTTGAGAAAAATTCTATTGTACTCATTATTGGACAATATGTTTATAATGAAGATATAGAATATGTTAGTAAATAATATAGTTCGTAATTGGTTTTATTTATCTTATATTAGAAATATTTTTAATATATGAAAAATAAACCTGGTTCAAGCTCAATTATATAATTGCGTTTATTTTACTCTGTAATTTCTAAAAAACTAACTGTCTCAATTTAAAATCCTTAAGGTTATTCTTATTCAAGCTATCTTGATTTCATACTTTCCTGATAATACATCAATTATACTAAAGATCTTCCTTATTCTTTTCTCCTGATGATTTATTTTGCTATCACCATTATTAATTCTTACCAATCTAATGATAAAGTTGGAAGACATAGTTTTATGATATCTAGACGATTGTACAATGGAGTGACCAGTAAAAAGAATATTAAATCTAATGTTATCATATCTTATACAAACCAAAATGGTCAGTATAATTCTCTTAAAGAATACTTAAAAAAAAATAGTTATATCAGTAATCAGAAGATTCAAGATTGGATCACATAAAAGAACACCTCATATAATCGTATCAGATATTGAATAGAATTATACAAATAATATTAATGAATCCCAAACTTTATCCTCGTCTAATAAAAGAAAAGAGAAAACCTGTGATGAATTGAATAACCAACTTGACCTTATAGAAGAAAAGTACGCTAAAATAGATGCTTAATCTTCAAAAAAAAGAAAATTAAATAATTATACTCTAAAACTAAAACTGCAAAAAGATAAATCATCATCTACTAATTTTATGGACGTGATCTCTCAAATTAAAACCGATAAACCTTCTGTATAAGAAAACTCTGATGATATGATTAATAGTCAAGATATAGATTCAGATTAAAATTTGACCATATTTTTACATAAAAATAAATTTAATAAAAATAAAAAATTAGTAAATAAAAATTAATATGTTATGATATATAATACATGAGCTAATTGTTTAGTTAATACAGACTAAATATTTAAACTAACCGAATTATAAAAATAAAAACAAATCTAATTTATCTTAAAAATTATATATAAATATGTCTGTTATATGCTCGTAAATTTAATAATTAATTGCTCTAAATCGATATTTCAAAAAAAAAATATATCCAACTATCGAGTTCAAACTTTTTCTCTTTTTAATTTTCAACATACTGTACAATCTAATTCAGAAAATCTACAATATGATCATTCATTTGACCCTTATATATTCAGAAATGAAATAAATCAAAATTTACCAAATGCGCTAATTCCCGATAATGATCAGGTACAAACTGAATCAGATTTTGAATACCTAACAAATTATAATCTAATCTCTTAGCAGGTTAACCTTCAACACCTATTAAATAAATTTCAAACGCAAATATTATATAACTATTCGTGTATTTCTTGTGCCTATTGTTCAATAATGATAATAAAATTTTTCATAAAATGGAACCTTTACGATCCTAATGAAGTTTATCATTTAACAATTGCTTTCGATATTCCAGTATATACCTAAATAAATAAGCAAAATGTTAAACAGGTTGCTGTATACAATAGATGCAAAAACCAAAGCACATGTCATTATTCTTCTATTCTGACTCCTGTTTCTTTAAAAATCGAAGAAGTTCTTATGATACATCGAAAATACCTTTCTCCTGTTCACATGAACTGTTCTTTAGACTGCACTGCTAGCACAAATCATTACACAAATTATAGATATTTAAAAGGTTTAATAGGAATAACACACAACTATTGGTCTTTACAATTATATTCTGGATCAATTAGTGCTTATTTAAATTCTAATAAACCACCAAATAGGTTTTATAACTTATTAATACCTGCTTCAGATTGGCTAAAACAAAATAACAAGCTCATTAAACAATACCAATCGAATTTAATTACTACTTGTTCATCATCAGAAAGTATCATG